GTCCCAAGGCTTTGGGCCGTCCTCAACTGCTTTCCCAGGCCACAAGCAGGGAGCTGGATGGGAAGTGGACAGGCCGGGATTAGAACCAGCGCCCATAGGGATCCTGGCGCATTCAGGGCGAGAACTTTAGCCGCTAGGCCATGGCGCCGGGCCCCATTAAATAAGATTTTAATTGCAAATAGCTAACACAGGAAGGCAAAAGATAGAGCACGACCTATGAGAACAAGAGGTGGACATTAAGACAAGAGCAAAACTATTGCATTATTAAAAGAAAACTGAAAAACAAATTCTTTACATAATTGAAAACAGTCTTTCTGAAAAATTTAAGGATAAAGAAAAAAATTGTCCAGAATTAAACCCAAATAATCCATCCGTAAATTACAAATACAGAAGGCCTTGTAAAAGTAGCAGTTTTTTTTAAAAACTCTAAAAGGATTTATATGAAAACATAAATGCTGAAGAACCTTAAGAAAATTGATGATTCTGGGAATCAGTGGTCACAATTCTGCTTATCTACACGAAAGGAACACACCGGCACGTTTTTCAATTTCTCAAAAAAACCTCATCACTCATACTGAAATGTGTTAATTTTAGCATCAAAAGAGTAAAAATAACTTAAAAGTGTTGCAATATGAATCTATTGAAAAATTGGGAGTGGGAGGAACAAAATGAGCTGATCCTCTGGATTAGTTAGGACCCATGTAATGTAGTCTGTGTTAGTTCAATAGAGGAAATTAGTAAGTCAGCTTATGTTCATGGCGATCAGAAATGAGCAAAAACAGAAAAGATTCTACCTTGCCTTCTTCCATTGCAGCTAATGCATGCTAGTGGAAAAGAGGGGACTTTCATGTCAGGGTGAACCTTCTGGGACAGGAAGCATTGTGAGTTCTGGGCCCATCATTCTCCCTGGCCCTTGTGAAGCTGCCCAAATAGACACTGCTTGTGGACACAGCTGAGAAATTTAACAGTAGGAAGCTTCCAGCCTTACAAGGTGGCTCCTAGCCCACCTTCGCAGTGTTCATATAGAAATTTATCTGCATTGCCCTGATCAAGAACCAACAAAATCCTCAGAGTACTTGAGATACCATCGTATTTTAAACTTATTGTATCAAAAAAGCCAGTTTATAGTATACTGCTTAATATTAATATACAAATTGAAAGAGACAAGTAAATAAGATCCCATTCATTTGTTAAATTTCCATGATATCACAGAGTGGAAGGATAAATGAATTTATTTTCTCAGTCTGAAAAATATAAATCAAGATAAAGAAGCTGGCATGGGGCTCTCCTCTGAGGTCACTCTCCTGGGCTTGCAAATGGCCATCTTCCCATCGTAACTTCCTCTCTGGGGTCTGTTGGAATTGGATTAGGGTTCTTACTGGATTAGGGTTCTACCCTTGTAATCCCCTTTAACTTCTCTTAACCTCTTCAAAGACGCTTTACCCATATCAAGTCCCAGTGGGTATTAGGGCTTCTCCCTGGGAATTCGGGTTGGCCACAATTCAGTCCATTAGCAGTACACAGTCCTTGAATATGCACAGGGAATGCCCTTTCTAATGTCTTGAACATGACATCGAACACAGATTGGGTAGGACTTGTATCTGTGGTGAAGATCCCGAGATAGTCCATAATCAAGTTAAAACACAAATGTTCCCAGAGCAGAATAAAAAAAAAGCGAAGAGTCAAATGAGAGTAGAGAAAGTTGTTGAAGGCAAACTATAGAGTAGTGAAGAGTAAAACCTGCAGACACAGGAGCAAACCGAGGGGAGTGAAGCCGGAGAGTCGGAGGGAGGTGTCCTCCAGGGGCTTCCAGCTCTTGGTTGCTGGCAGATCTGCCTGCTACATTCTCAAGGGACTTAAGACTGACCATTCGTGAAGAAAAGTGTTTCACAGAATAAAAAATAAACTAATTCATTTTCATCAATTTTTGAAATATCTATTGTGCACTAATAAACAAATTACATTAGGAAAAAGAATAAATACTATAGTAGACAGATTTATAACTAATATGAGATTCATTATACAGAGAAATTGGTGTTATTAATGAGCATTGTCAGCACACATCAAGGATTTATGTGTTTAATTAAGTTTATGCCTCATCTAGGAAATTGGTTTTAAAGAGAAATGCCCTTTTTCACCCAGTAACACTTTCATAACATGAGTATTGCACCTTCTCCCTCCCGGCAGTGGATGGGAATATTTTACATATTTTGATATTTTGAGCATCCACAGCCCAGCCAGGAGTTCTCACCTGGCAGGTGGAAGAGGACAGAAACATGCATGCTTAAGAAGCATCCAGTGATTCCAGGAGCAGCCCAGAAATAAGTCTTCTCTATCTAACTTCCCTGCCACACTCAAACTTGCATGTATCAACCACAGGACATAGATATGGATAGGAAAATATTGAAATTCATCAAACATCAAAAAATATACACATTGGTTGCATCATCACTGTTCGGAGACGTCTTCTTTTAAAAAATAAAATAAAATACCATCAACAGTACCAGACTTGAATGGACTAAGCGTGGCACTTTTTTTTTTTCATTTTATGATACAATTTCATAGGTTCTGGGATTCCCCCAACCCCACCCATGCCCTCCTCCATGTTGGATTCCTCCACATTGTTGCAGTAGTACAGTTCATATCCAGTCATGATTCCTTCATTGTGAACATGTACCATGCATAGAGTCCAGCATCTTATTGTCCAGATAAATTCAACAGTTTCAATGGGAGACTGCCCCTGATCTGAAAGTCGAGCTGGCAGAATAAAATCCCCTCCTATAAGTGTGGCACTTTTATGGTCAAGCAGTAGTTCTAGAAATGTCTGAGTCCTGAAAAATGACGGGTGACTTCCAGCTCCCTGCCTGTGGCCTGGGAAGGCAGTCGAGGACGGCCCAAAGCTTTGGGACCCTGCACCCGCGTGGGAGACCCGGAAGAGGCTCCTGGCTTTGGACCGGCATAGTATTGGCCCGTTGCGCTCACTTGGGGAGTGAATCATCGGACGGAAGATCTTCCTCTCTGTCTCTCCTCTCTGTATATCCGCCTTTCCAATGAAAAAATAATAAAAATAAATCTTTAAAAAAAAAAAAGAAAAGAAAAATGACGGGTGAAATACGTCCAAGCTCTTTGCCCCCTCTGTTAACAGACGGAAATCTTTCAGTCTTCTCCAGGTCAAGAGATACCTGTTCAATATTTCACAGCATTCTGCAACAAAGTGGCATTCAGATCTTGTAACTGTCTATAGAAGATGCTACTGAACAGGAGGGGCAGATGAGGAGCTTGCAAGTTCACACCACAGTGAGCAAAAAGGAACTACCACAGGCTTTCACCAAGTCCCAGCTCTTGCCAAGAATCAGAAATTAAGTTGGGTGAAATGTGCAATTTTATTTATCAGAGGATTGAACATTGTCGAAAAGCAATTGGTTGCTCAAATTGTGTGAAAGAATGTATGCTACCATGAATTAAAACCATGCCTGTGTGTGTATGTGTGTTTTCAGAAACTTAACTGATTCAAAAAAGATGACATGCAATGCCAGCTGTTGTATTTGATGTGATATGGTCTGAATCTCTTCAGCTTGAAAATACATGTTTCAAATAAGACCACATGCCACATTTTGATCACAGAATCTCTCAGTAAGAGAAACAATAGTCCTAATACATTTAAGATCCTATCGCAGGAGCAGGAAAATGCTGCCGGAGCGAGGAGCTATTGGATATAGCTACAAGGTGTCAAGGAAGAGGTTTGAGGGACTCAGATGGGCACAAACATTGAGTGGCCTGTCCCTGGCACCCCTCTGGGCCCCTGCTTCTGAAGAGCCTTGCACCTTCCCCCTTGAACTGTTGTACCATCCTGTAAGTTGTGGAAGGAGTCAGGCATCTGACTCTTGCTTACAGAAGTGCAAACAAGGACAGTGTATCTACTACACTCCTGAGGAGCAGTGGTTCCTTCACCTACTTAGTTGCTGAATTCTTTTTCTAGTTGAAGGTTAATCTTTGGATTATACGGTAAGTTGGAAGTATTTCATTGTAAAAATTAACAAAGGAAGGAGAAAAGGATGAGAGCAAGAAGAGAGGGAGGGTAGGGTGAGAAATGTCATCACACTCTTAAAACTGGATATATGAAATACAGAAAAATGGTTCCCCTTCTAGAAATTTGGAATATGAAAAAAATCTATAACTCTGGTTATGAAGAAAAAATGTTTTGAAAAGTGCACTTTCAGAACTGAGTGGCTCAGGCCAGGCATGGTAGCATAGTAGCTAAAGTCCTCACGTTGAACGCTTTGGGATCCCATATGGGCACCAGTTCTAATCCCAGCAGCTCCGCTTCTCATCCAGCTCCCTGCTTGTGGCCTGGGAAAGCAGCTGAGGATGGCCCAATGCGTTGGGATCCTGCACCTGCATGGGAGACCTGGAGGAGGCTCAGGGCTCCTGGCTTTAGATCAGCACAACTCAGGCCGCTGTGGCTGCTTGGGGAGTGAATCAACCGACAGACCATCCTCTCTGTTTCTCTTCCTCTCTGTATATCTGACTTTCTGAGAAAAATAAAATAAATCTTAAAAAAAAAGAACTAAGTGCCTCTTGCATGACTATCACAAAGTTCTCAGATCATCCTTAGTATAACCCTATCTGTCGCAGTAACGACAATAAAGTAATTACAGTTAATAAACAAAAGATCAAATCCTTTAAAATGTCAGCAAATTCAGCTGTGGAACCTGGTTGATTAAGGCCGGGAATATGTGCCAGTATTGCTGATTGGTTAATAGGCATCGGAATCAGTGATACCACTTAAATTCTCTCCTTAATACGCTACATTAAATTGCTTCCAGAGATTTGTATTTTGGGGTTTTTTTTTTGAGAAACAATTTTTACCTTAAAAAGTTCCATAAGAAACCGAGTACCTACAGCACCTTCTGTCATGTGTCACTCACATCCAATCATCCACATTTAAAGGACAGACGCACTTTAACCAAGGCTTAAGTAACATTTCTCTTTTCTTTTAGCTTCAGACAAGCTTGACTGAGCCCATGGCGTTACCCAAATCGATCTCGCTCCCTCGCAGTGCGTACTGGCATCACATTACTCGTCAAAACAGCGTTGGGGAAATCTACAGTTTGCAAGGCAAGTAACCTTAGAATAATGAGGCTGCACTGCCGTTAGCTTCCTTCAGGTCGGACAGGAGTCGTGCGAATCACTCTGTATTTACAGTGCTTGCTTTTCCTGCATTTCCATTTTTCAGCTGTCAGAAGCCACAGTGGGAGCTCGGCGTAAGAGCTATCATTTCAGATGCCTATGGTAAAAATTCCTCTGAACGTTCCCGTGAGGGCCAAGGACCCAATTTGGCATAAGACTTTGCCTAAAATATCATACAAAGCACATTATCACAAACTAAGAGCTAATGTTGAGGTCTGTTTCATGCTGTGTTTTAAAAAGATTTTCTTTCTGAGCATCTTTTTTTTTCTGTAATCAGATTAAGTATCAGTTGAGAAGGCTGACTTCAGACTTGCTAATGACATGCTCCATAAGCCTACTCCGAAGTTTTAAGACTTAGCCAAAGCCTTGCCAGAGAAAGTGTTTGCAGAGGTTTCGGGATAGACAAGGTCACACACAAAGGCTTCCTTTGCTTCTGTGGATTTCCTAATGACAAATGGACAGTTGGCTTGCGGGGGTTTCATTTGGCAGGTGAATTAATTAACAGGAATATTTGTTCACCAACAGCAGACATCTCAGCACTGGTAGCTGTCTTTCTTTGTCTTCTCTTCTGCTTCAAAATAAATTCTCATACCCTTCAAATAAAGTACTCAGCTATAAGCAAGTGACTAATGGAACAACACCAGTGGAAGCCAGCAGCTGAAACATGCGTAGCTCAACGTATCTCTGCATGCAGCCAGCAGGAATTAGGCACCACCATCTAGAACCTAACAGGTGTGCAGTGATGCCTGGGGAGGAGTGAGCCGGCAGGTGTGCAGTGACGCCCGGGGAGGAGTGAGCCGGCAGGTGTGCAGTGAGCCGGCAGGTGTGCAGTGACACCTGGGGGAGGAGTGAGCCGGCAGATGTGCAGTGACGCCCGGAGAGGAGTGAGCTAGGCATTCAGAATGCCTTTTCCTCTCATTCCCTTTAGCTTTTGCACATAGTAGCAGCGCAGGTTGTTTCAACAAAGAAACAAACCTCTCTTACGAAAGCCTGAATTAATACGAGGATCTTAAAATATTATTTCCTTTCCTATGTTTTTATCGTATGGTAACGAAATTTGATTTGTGGCAATTAATGATTAATGATACAAATTGCACAGTAAAGCAGTAAAACTGTTTTAGTCATGAAGACAACTTAGATTTTTTAATATAAATGATCACTTAAATCCATGCCCAAATTAACTATTTCAAAGATAGCTGTGATCTTTTTGTTACTTATTTTTTGGAAAATCTTATTGGACTAGGACTGAGAGACAAGAGGAACTCATTTGTCGATACCAAGAATCAAAAAATGCCAGGTGTTGAAGATGCTGGTTTGGAGATCAGAGCCCAGCTCCTAGCTCTGGGTCGTGCTGCAGCTTCTGGGAGGCAGGGCCAGTGGGCGGCTCCCGGCCACGCGTGTAGACCTGGCTTGTGTTACCCACTCCTGTTTTCACCTGAAGGCATTTGCAGAGTGAATCCGTGGATGTGACCACTCCCTTTTTTCTCTGTCCCTCTCAGTAATATATATATATATATATATATATATATATATGGTTTTTTTAAAACCTTGAAAGAGCTGACTATGAACTCATTTGCCCGAATCAGGATTTCATAAAAATAGCAACACCCACTGCTTCAACTAAAATTAGAAAATTAGCTCATCATATATAGTTTTTTACATAAACATACATATATGATTTAGAGATTGATATTTGCCTGAAAAAATTAGAACTGTGAAATATTTGAAGGGAAAAATAAAGTCAAAATTTTAAGTGAAAAAAAGTGAGGTTAATACTAATAGTTTTGGAAAAGGTTGGAAAGAATGTACTGATATTTATGGGTTTTGTTAAGAGTTCAGTCTGCAAAGAGTTTCAATGCTGTTTGGTCTATAATTCCAGGAAACCAAACGCTTTTGCTCTCACGGTTTTATAAGAAATATGCTATTCTCAAGTGAGAACTAACATTTAGACTGACGCACAACTTCGTAAATAATTTTATATGTATCCAGTAAAAGCTATTGGAATGCATTTAAAAATCTTAAAACATCCCCAGACTCTTTGTAGGAACATGTTATGTTTCTACATAAAATACATAGAATAATTAGTTGGAATAATCTGATTCATGTCATTCATATGAATTCTGCCAAACTTAGGACTTGAGCTTTCTTATTAATTACTACAGAAAATTTCCTTACATGGTACCAAGATCACGTTGTTTTCTGGTTAGTTTGTAACAGAGACTATATATTAACCTAGGTAGTTACTGTAAATCTGATACATAGAGAAGGATTTCAGTGTAATTTCCATTTTCCTGCAATGCTGTGGGTTTGCTTTTTGCATTGCATCCTTTGTAAATCAGTCTGTTGTACCTTTCTTTATGTATCTTTGTTTTATTATGTGACATTTGGAGGTAATTCAAAAGAGTTGTGGCTGGGTGGACATTTAGCCTATCAATTATGTAAAACGCCGTTGAGGATAGCCATATGCCATAATCAAGAATGCTCAGTTCTTGGTTCTAGTTCTACTTCTGATGGCTCCAGTAATGTGTTCTGCCGTCATCCCAACCTGTCTCCGGGATGGCCTCTCTCTCGCTTTCTCTCTCTCTCTCCGTCTGCCTTTCTTCCATCTACCTACCATAACCAAGATATCCATCAGCATATGATTAAAAAATAAAACATGGTTAAAAATAAGGTTAGATTGCATATCACTCTTTCAGTTGTGTACTATGGAATGGCATCAGGTCTTTTTATGAACAGGAGAATATAGTTAGCCAGCTATCACCATCAGTTTCAGAGTCAACGTAAAAATCTGGCAGTGTAGGTGTTAGCTCGTCAAGTAAGCTGCATGCACAGTGAGGAATACAAATCTATCTTTAGCATTTTCTTGGGTTTTTTTTTTGTGAAGCTGAATTTAATATAAATTAGATTTGGAAGGTTTCACCTAGAAGATAAGGGAAAGGTTATATAGACTTCAAGTTTAATATATTTTGACTCAATAAATAACACAAGTGCTAGAATTGAAAAAAAAAAATCATGGTGTGAAAACAAACTCTTTCCACATATTGGAACTCACCTGTAGCTTCCAGGGCAACCTGCCAGTTACGCTGAGAGCCTCATCCTTAGCTCAGTCTCCAGATGCACTCCAACAGACTGGTCTATTGATAGATAGTGAAATCCTGCATCTACCTACGCATTTGAAGACTAAGTGCCACAGACTCTGTTCAGCTCTGTATGCTGGCCCCAGAGGGGTACGCTTACAGGACGAGTTGCCATGGTTTCCCTACTTTCTCCAGTAATCTGGAATCAAAAGAGTGAGAGAAGGCCTCATTAGCTTTCCGTAAGTACATGTTGTTCTAAGTACGAGTGTGCTGAGGCCCAGCTCTCTATCCTGATGTGCTTTCAAATGGGTTGAGCATGCCATGTCTTCTTGCAGAAGTAGAAAGGAGGGGTTTTTTTCTGGTTTTTTTTTGTGGCAAAAAAAGATTAGTTTCTGTTTAGGGTAATTTTCTATCTGTATTTCTCTAACTTTTGCATTTATGAAAATTGTTGTGTCACCAACATATCAGATATTATGCAAACAGAAAATATGATTTTAATCCTTCACTCAGAAGTGAATGCTTAGAAGCTGTATTTTGTTTTACTATTGATAACATTACGACTCTAGTTTCAAGATCTTGAAAATGGGTTTGAAACATGAAGGACATTAAAAATTCAAAAAGGAAAACAAGAGCGAGAGAGATGAGAGGGAAAAAGAATGGAGAGGAGGGGAGGACAGAAGAAGAGAGAAGAAGAAACAGGGAAAGTAAGAAAAAAAGAGCTAGCACAAGAAGTTGAATTACCACGTTATTCTCTTTTTTTTCTTGTTTGAAAATAATGTGACTTTTTTTTTTTTTGTGATACAGCTCCATAGGCTCACGGGTTTCCCCGTCTACCCTCTCCGTTCCCCCTCACCAGCAACTGTTTTTCCCATATTATCACAGTAGTGTAGTCCTGTAGTAACAGGCACAAGCCCATCTTTCTGCTGTTTGTTTCATGACATTGTAGGTATGAACAACTTAGGTTAAGATGCTCGTCTTGATTATGAAAAACAATGACAGAGTGTATAGTGAGTTCTTTAATTCACAATTTGTAAAATGACAAAGCATGTTTTGAAAACAAATCCAAATAGTAAACGCTGATGGTACCAGGTTCCTGGCAAGCACTCAGTGATTCTTTATGGAACGCAAAGCTGAATTAGCAATACTGTAAAAGGATGCATAGTGAGGATGGCCACATCTGCCCTGCCTGTGAGCTATAGCCTACCCACCTGTGGTTGCGGCAGGGCACCTGTCCCCACCGCACGCGGACCAGTCTTGGTCAGCATGTCTGCTTCTTATCTTGGATGCCTGCTGTCACTTCCTTTTGCTTTGCTGGGCAAAGAGCCATGAAATCCTGCAGAGCTGTTCCTGTAACCTGGTTAGCTTGGTTCCTGTCCTTCTCCATCTTCTGCTTTCACGCTGCTCTTATCTTCTCATCCATAAATGGAAATGAGAAAGGGGGCCAAGAATGTAAGCTGAAATTGGGTCCCAGTGAGCAGAATTTTGTGAGACTGTGCCCTATGCTTAAAGTCACTTACTTTCACGCACGATTGTATGGGATATAATTTGTCTCAAATATTTAGCAGCTTGAACAATTTCACTCTGAATCAGGGATCATTGAAAATCCCACTGAAAGGTGGTGACTTTTGGAGTCCTGCTTTGATTAGCACCAGTTAATACCCAAGTGCCAACTCCGAGGTGTCTGCTTTGCTCTGCTCTGTATGCATCTGTAATTATGCTACAGACCACTGGTGTCAGCACCGAAGCATACCTTGATGACACAGGTGGCATTTCTCTCACGCAGAAAGGGCATCTGAGACTTCAGTTTCTCAGAAGGACAGGATGCAAACAGGAAATTAGAATCAGAGATAA